ATTTAGGGTGTCAATATTTAAACCCCCGTCAATAATTGGGGCTTTTACATTATATATAAACAAATCCTTCTATCAGTATATAAAAAAAAAAACCGAAAATAATTATAAAAAAATTTATGAAGGAACCTTACGACTTAAACTATACATAGCTTTCAGATAGTAAAGAACTCAGAGTTGTGCGTTAAAGAAATACGGTGGAAAATATACAACGGTAGTGTAAGTAGTAGCGGTTGTTTTATTTTTACCCACGCCGGCAGTATCTCCAGTTTAGAGCAGTGAAGAGTAGACTGGATAGTTTCCAGATAGCGAACTCCGCCTTAGCTTTTCTCAGAGGAGCCCGCAGAGTAGATCTATATATAAAATATAAATATAAATATATAAACATATACCTAGATCCATATCCACATATTTCCTCGCTCCCTTTTGCGTCTCCTTAATCTCATCTCCTCTGTGCAGACATAAAATTTTTTCGGATCCATCCCGGTTTAATTTTTCCATTTTACTCGGAAACGAAAACCAGCGGGATGCATATACTGAAATTTAACTTCACCGAAGCACAAATCCCAGCATCTCCAATGTACTCATACTCATATTCCGTTGTTTATTTTATTTAGATTTTTGTCAGCGCAGCATCGTATTGTTTGCTTTGTTTCTTTTTGTTAAACAGGACAATTACTTATTCTATGTCATACAATCCTTGGTATTTGTTTATTCAGTGTCGAGAGACTCATTTGTCGGGGTTGGTACGTCGCCAAACTCGGTATTGCTCCATAAATCCTTGACCGAGCTCGGAGCTTCCGAGCTTGCATCATTCCCTTTGGTATTGTGTCGCAGATAGTACCCCAATGTATACCCCAATAATCGGATCCGCCTTAGTGATTTACCGCTCAAGCTCAAGAGGAGAGACCCAGGACCTCCCTCATTATTTCGCTATTGACACTCATTCTTTAATCTTTCATTTCGGTATTACATTTTGGTCATTCGCTCTCGGGAAATAAGAATTTTTGCTGGCAAAATTTTTGGCCGTATTTGTACATAGAAAGAAATTTTCTATGAAAATTACCGTGAAAAAATTTCTAATACACTTAAAAAAGTAAATTGTTATTAATAATAGTCGATTTATAATAAGTAATGATCAACTGGAAAAAATTACCATTTCAAACAGTAATATTCGCTATGTCAATGTCTAAAATGTTTAAGTATAATAATTAAGAATTTTGACTTTGATATTTATCATTTTGTACCTAAAAAATGATCGCATGATATGTAAAAAATATAAACTACAGTTACTAAATTTTTATACAAGCAACGTCAATATTTACAAAGTAAAATGGTAAATTTTAAACGCAACGCTAAAAATTAAACTATAATTATTGATTTGCTAGGACTGGTAAAATATATATATTTTAAGAGTAGAATTTTTACTGTTTCAAATGTTAAATTCTCCGAGTGTGAGACCTTTCCCTTCTCCTCATAGTATAGACTATACATTAAAACGGCAATTTTTACTGTTTGAAACTGTAATTTTTTAAGATGAGACAGTCGTTATTTACTATAGTGACAACTAATTACATTTTCGATATTAAATTATAAATTGTGGCTTTTACACTTTCTACATTAAATTTTGTAATATTTGCATTAGTGCTACCCCGATGTCCGCTGTACTGTTTGAAACTATAAAAATTAACCGGAATCCGAGTGAATTTTACAGTTTCCCAGTCCGAGCTATCTAATAATTTTTTCTCACATATTCTATACACTCACATTAAGAAGTTCCTCTCCATAATCCTTTCTCAATCCTTTCCTACCAATTATCCTGTTACGTGAATGTTGGAACGCTTCACGTAATAATTATCCGTAACTCCTATTCTTTCCCGCTTCACAGCATTATTTATATTTGTTAACAAATTAAATATTCAATGTTATTTTACAAAGACAATATTATCTTGATCTTTGGATATTAAATTTATCTTCATTAGTTTTAAGATTGAAAATTCTTAAATTATTTAATTTATTAATTTAATTAATCTATAAAAATCATGATATGAAATTCTCTTCAAATAAGTTTTTTTAAATCAAGAATATTTCTCTTTGATCAAGAAGTTTTCTTTTTTAGTGAAGTCGGCTTGGAGGATTTTTTATTTCTTCATAAAATAAAAATAAGCAATATTTGAAGGCAGTAATTAAACTCTCCCTTTTGGTAATAAAAATAATTTGGATTTATAATAAAATAAAATAAAATAAAATGAGGTAGAAAATAATAAAATAAAAATAAAGTAAGATTAGCAGGAGGTGAGTGGTGGGTAAAGATAAAGTGATTACTTTCGCCAGTCGACTTCTCTCATTCAGATCTTTTCTTTTAATTTACCGAGTTTAAAAGTTCTTTTTAAAACTCATACTTGTATGCTCACCTTCTCTCAATACTCAACGCTCGCCCGAGATAAAATTAAGCGCCTTTGACTACCGGAGATTTATGGTTTTGGTTTTTCAATACTCGCCCTCCTTTGAATAGTTGTATTGTGCGCCGAGTTTTATATTATTATATTCATTCGCTAAATTTTAATGATTAATTACTTTATACAAAATTGCTAGTTGCTGATTCCATCTATAGTTTTGAAAATTTTTATTTTAGAGAGAAAAATTTTTGAAACAAAATTTGTAGAGAAATAAATTTTAAATAATTTTTGAATTTTTTTTAATTTTTACAGTTTAAATATTTTATTAAATAACAATTGGCTCAGCAATTGATAAAGGGGCATTCCATAGTGACTGTTGGGACATTTGACTCTGGAATTCCATCAATTATAAGCTATAATTATGTGACTGAAACTTATACTATAGTAAAATTTATCTTATACTATAGAAGAATAACTAATTAACAACATCCCTTTGTCAAAAACCGTCCGTTACTTTTTAAGCTTCTCGTAATTATCATTTGACTGAGTGTGACTGGTGGGACTAAGAAAAATCCTTCTCTCTTACCAAAGGTATACTTAAAGTTCAATTTCAGTTCGACCACTAAACTAAAAAAAATACATCCCTCTCAATACAAAATTTATCCTACAAACATTCAATGTTATGAAGAATTAGACTGATTACCTACGTAGAAACAATTAAAAAAATTTGTTTTTATTGTGACTGGTGGGACAGGCATTTGTGACTGGTGGGACAAGTACAAAATGTCTACATCAAGTTGTTTATTAAAAAGACTTTTATATTATTTCAACCTTAGAAACATTATTGTTTATATATTTAACTATAAACTATTTAGGATAATTAGAAAAAAACTAATTAAAAAACACAAATAAAGGATTTAGCATGCTGACAACACAATCTTGATAAACTTAGGTGTTAATTAATACCGAACATAAAAAAATTTGTTCTTAAAACTATAATAATAAATATGTTAGTTAATAACAAACATAAAATGAATTTGTTGTTAAAACTATTAAAATAACATTTGACCTGGAAACAAGTTAGTACGGCTGAAAAGTTACTAGGAGAGAAAAATCTATTTTCTTAATGATTAAAAAAAATTTTCTTTATAAATTAGTAAAATATAAACTTTTAATAATAAATTAGGAGTAAATTAGAATGAATTAGAAAAATTTTTTAATTTTAGTCATTTTCCAATTTTGCATGGAACGCCCCAATAATGATTAGTATGTTCGTTCATGCAGTTGAATTCGGTGTTAAGAATTTGAAAAGATACCCTTTTAAGTGACTCTCATCTCTGAAAAATCCTCCTTACTATATATCTTACATAGCAATGATTACCATTCTACATTGGACATATAACAATTTTCTTTTCTCCATGTAGACCTTCTAATGTAGTGAAAAAAATGAGAAATTTATCGATCCAGCAAAGAATTGAAGCATAAACGCGAATCGTTAAGGCGCAGTATAAAGATGAGAGGGCAGTAAAAGCTTTAAAGTTTAACTCGCCCGTAAAGTATACGACTGTAGAAAATGTAATGCCGTTATTGTTAAAAAATGAGGATAGACACGCATAAAAGCAGTATAAAAATGAAATTGGACATATAATTGTGAAATTATGTTACTTCAGGTTGAAATATGTGGTAGAAGGGCCATAGAAATAATGTATTTAATTAAAGTTTGAATTTAAAGCGGGAGTGTTCCTGAAATGAAGTATTTTATTTCTCGAGAGTCTTGTTTATAAATTTAAATAATATTAAACAATATATCTGTGACCGAGAGACCTTGTTCAGCCCCAGTTCAGTCTTCACTAAATTGTTTACCATAAGAAAGATTACCCAGCCTCCATTTCCTTTAACCTATTTCAAAGTGCTCGAGTTAAAGTTCTGCGCCGCAAGATCCAACGAGAATTTCGTCTGCCTCTTGAATATATTCATGATTATTTTTTAGTCTTCCTTCTCTTTGTTATTGATTATGATTCACATTCAAATGGTAATCAACATTTTAGAAAGTTTTGCTAATTTATAATTTTTCAGAGCTGTCAGTCTAAAACACTATAATTGTTTAGGTAAATCTTGTAAAAAGTGATTGAAATTGAACAACTGAAATGTCTAAAAGTTTTAAAAATCTAAAACTACACGCCTCATAATGCTAATTTAATTTTAAAGAAAAAAATAAGTCATTACTGACTTATTTGTATTATACAGACAATTAATAAAAACCCAGTCTCGATACGTCAATTTTTTCAGGACTTATCGTAATTACATACAAAAAAATAGCATAAAGATATCCGGACGTCCACGTAAAATTTTTTTCAAACAATTTTTCTGTAAAGAAGCAACAAAAAATAATTTTTATAAAATATTCGATGGATTTTTTTAGAGTGTTTCTTCGCCTATTCAACAAATAACACGTTAGTTGCACCTCATAAAAATACCTGATTGCCAAGTCTGTAATGTATGATATTATTTGCTTACCGATGGAAGATTAGTGAAACAAAAAAGCTAGACCACACACAACCAGGCAATTTTTACTCGATAATTACTAGAACATTAAAAGTCCTTATGGAGGCGGTAATTAGTTTTATTGACATAATAAAAATGCCTCTTTAATAGTTGGCTTAGTTGACGTGTCTTTTCCACGAACATCGTCACAAATTTTAACAATGTTTTCTACATTGTGAGTTGCAGTTGTCATGGGCAACAATTCCAAACAAAGTCACACATTTTGCATAGCATTCAGTCGGCAACTTGACTTCAAACAGCTCAGTCGCAATTACATAAAAGATTTTTCAAGCTTGCAAACATTTCTGATGTTGTGCAGAATTGGTTCATTAAATTGACCTTCACCAGCTAAACAATGCGGTTCATAAAGATTATTTTAAGCTGTTGTTGCGTATTCGCAGTCACTTTTCAAATGGAAGCAGCATTCACACTTCAGAAATCAAAAGGCGCCTCATCAATCATACGGTGAGTTTATTTTTAAAAATTTAATTTCAATAACTTTTACCATTTTTAAAATCGTTTATTATCTTTACAGATGGAATTGATTGATAAAGGTTTTAAGAATAATATGAACCCAGTGATAATAACTTCTGACCTAGTTGATGACCAAGTTGTAAATGGAAATATCGATAATGTAAATCCGCTGATTGTAGTGAATAGTGATTTCATTGGTGCAAAAATTAAAGGGTATCATCCCAGCTATCCTATGTATATCCTCAAATTTGAATCTGACGAGAAGCTGATAAAGTTTATTTTTCGGTTTACTCATTCAACAATCTGAAATGTAAAGTCACCAATTTTCATTCTCGACATTTCTGAAGGGCCTCATGATGTAAGAGCTAGTTGGGTTCTTAAGTTTCTCGGAAGGTTCGAAATATTGGTATCATACTACTTGTGTTATGATAACGATAAAGATTCAACCATAGTCTACACTCTGAACCCTTACTCACAATATGCTCCACGACCATGGAAACAAGTTAAATTAGCAGATAGCAATAGAAAAACAAATTCGACACTACTCAGTTTGCAGTATCCGAAAGGTAATTGTTAAGTTTAATGATAATTCACTCTTTAAAAAGAAAGAACAAATTGAGTAATAATTCTCAGTTATAAATAATTAGTTGATTTTTATAATTAATTTTCAGATGTAAAGAAAAGCCACAAAAATGTTTATTTTGATAAAAATAAATACTTAAATGGTCATACAATAAAATTATTGGATTCTCTAAACATACAAAATTCAACCCAACAGGATGAACAGAATGAAATTGATAAGTATATGAAACTCATTAAACAGTTTAAAGACGTCAAATTGACTTCACTACCTGATTATATCAAAGTAAATACGTCAATTCATGTTATTGAGAACGATCTTAGTTCATTAATAATAAAAATGGGTTTCGATAATAGGCTTTCTACTTCTCAGTATGATGCGCATAACCAAATGACTCAATTGGCTGATATAAATTATAATTTTAATGACTTTGTGACGCAGTACCAGGAATTACACTTTTCAATTATCACGAAAAAGACTGATCATTTGACGGCAATTACTGAAATTGACGTGAATCTTAATTTTATCGTCATCACAATCTTGGTGTTGTTGCTCATTGCAGTGTTGATAATATTATCAAAGGAGAGTATTTTCAAAAAATACTTCGTGTTTTGGACAAAGAAGAACTGGGCTCTGAAGGACAAAATTGACAAAGCTCGTTCAATTCCGGTGGAAACAGGATTAATCAACCATTTCATTGAGGAGAAAATTAAGAAAGATCGGAAAATGATAAAGAAGATGGCGAAAATCAAGGAAGCTGAAAACTATGAACGAGTTGACTTTGAAAATTTGATGTTTTATTTCATTGTGTTTGCGGCAATTTTACTGTGGAGTTTGGTCATTTTTGGAATTGAACTTCTTGTTCACTACAATAACTCAAAATATTTGAGACGGCAAGCGGCGCAACGAAAGTTCATAGGGAGATTAAGAGCAAGTCCATGAATTATTTTTTTCTCGGGTCGAATTGTTCTGTAAAATAGCCGCGAGTGATCTAAACAGCGAAAAAAGCAACCATCAAATTTTAGCAAATTAGTTTTATTCAATTTCACTATCCTTTATTGTTTTTTATCCGTAAGTAATTTTGTCTTTAAATTATTAGTGTTAAAACGTTTGAGAACTTTTAATGCAAAAATATTATTGATGTGTTGTGTTTATGAAAATTATTAATCTTGAATTTGCAAAATTTAATGTGTTGAGAGTGTAAAGAATTTAATATTTGAATTTTAATCTGTATTCTACTTTGTGGTATTAAAAAAATCGATTACAAAATATTAATACAGAATTATTTTAATATATGATAATTATTTAGATAATTTTTCTCTATTTTCACACAAAGTCTTCAAGTCTAAGGAGTTCTTCTCTTTATTTTTGTAAGTAAACTAATTTATTAATATTTTACCTGCAAATAATAGAGCCTGAACCACATCAACCGATTTCGATGTAGTTTAGGGCATTTAATGCTATTTTAGTTCCTGGGGGCACCACTAGATGGCCAAGCGGCGTAAATGTTCTCGCTTTTGGTAAGGCTTTGAAAAATATTTTAATTGAGCGCATTCTAAAATATTTTTTATGACCTTTTAAAGAAAAAAAATAATGAAATTTTAAAGATGATATTTTTCTTTAATCAAGTAGTTTTTTATTTAGTGCATAATCTATAAGATACGCTTTACCTCATTTATAAGATAAATACATTTTCCATCAATGAATTTAATAACTTATCATGAAAAGTATCAAAGCAAATTTGAACAACGAATAATAAATTAATAGAACAGTGAAGAACTTTGATTCAAAGGTTTTTAAATGAATGCAGGTTTTGTCTAAAAACAAAGCCAAGAAAATTAATTACACGTCTTATCCCTTTGTCATGCTTTCGTCTTTCCGAGATAAACTGAATACCTAGTGCAGGATTTTGATTAACATTCACATTATTTGCTAGTTTATTCCGCACTTTAAATGCTAAATAATTTTTTTAATAACCAACAAAGCCGTATATGACATAGTTGTTTCTCTTTTCGTTCTTTGATTCTTCTATGCTTGCATATTTGAATAACATATTGCACTCCAGATTTCTCTGCGCTAATTGATGCGGATTTGACTAAATTTATTTCAAAATTGAAACTGAATTTAATAGAGCAGTTTATTGTTCGAGAAGAAAAAATAAGATAAATTTGGTAGTAAATTTTAAAAAAAAGAATCACAAATAAAATAAAACAAAGTAATAATAAATCAAATAGCTGTGGTTAATTATTTATTATTGTTGTTCTTACTTAAAGTACTACAGCAAATCTTTGACTCTATTAGCGAAGTATTCTAAGAATTTCGGCATGAATAGTTTTGATTGAGCTGACATCAAAGTTGTAGAAATGTGGTTTAATTATTAGGATTAATTTATTGTATTTAAACTTTTGTGAAATTGTAAATTAAATTAACAAACTAAATTTTGCAAAGTTGTTGGCTAGAGAATCAGAGAAATACGTTTTATTTTATTGACGATAACATTTACTAGTTTAATTAATATTCAGAATTCGACTTCGGTAACCACCTTACAGTGAAGTCTCAACAACTTTGACTTTGAATTCATCCAAATTCCAAGAATTGAAACTGGAGAATACACGGAAGTAGATGAGCCACTTTGCAACTCACTTTTTATAGAAATTAAAGTAAATATTGATGCAATAAGGTAAAAGCCCCAATTATTGACGCTATAAGAGACAAAGTTATGATTTCATTTTTTTTTTAAGCAATCAAATATAAATATCGTTGAATTTTATTTGTGGTTATGTCTTGAGTAATGTTTTAACTAATCAATTTCTTTTTCAAAATGATAATCAGTGATTATTACTAATTAATTTTAAATAATTAAATAGATGATCTGGATACACCAATTATTGACGGGTTAAAAAACTGATTGATCTAATTATTGACGTACCGAAACCCCAATTATTGACGCCCCTACTGCGCATGCGTCGAATCATTTGGTTATATTCTTATTTATCAAAACTTGATATAAAGTAATCAATATTATTATTATTATTATTATTGTTTTAATTAATAATAATTGTTTAAAACTTATTTAACACCAAAACACGCCGAGTTATTTGACAGTTAAAAACCTTGTATATATAATCGCGTAACGTATTTCATACTTAAAAAAAAAGCGTCATGGCGCTGTCGACTGGCTGTCAATATGGGACTCACCATAAAAATTATGAACTAGTTATTGACTCCCATTATTTAAATATTATAAAGCATACAATTAATTTCTATTATTTAATTTTATAAATATTTGATATATTGTTAATTAAAAAAAAAAAATAGATCATATAATTACATGAAAAAATTAATTTAAACTCGGCAGTTAAAAAAAATGCTTTTCTAACCAAAGTTGTTTAAGAAAATAGACACTCGTAAGCTGATTTGATGAACTGGTGTTAACTTTATTTTTTTTTAATAATTAATATTTAATATTTTGAACTGAAAGTGATTTTTTTCAACTTTTTAATTAATTAGAATTTAATAAAAATTTATTTGATCAGTATTATTATTACAGATAATTTAATATAATTAAAAATAATTTAGGATGTCAATATTTAGACCCCCGTCAATAATTGGGGCTTTTACCTTATATTTTTTAAATATTCTCTAGATAATATTTTTCTTGAATGAAGATATTCCTTCTTTTCTAAGCATGGATTTTGATATTCTATATATAAAGTGTGTGGGAAGAATATATGGGTATGTTATTTATTTTCTATTGTAGTAACTATTTCCTCATTGGGTAAAAACGATAAAACGTTATGTCCTCAGTGTCACTAACAGATTTCTCGTACATATCAGGTCTTTTATACTGTCAGTTGTAACTTTGCCAATGGGAACCGCAATACAAATTTCTGTGGTCCAGAAAAATATTTAACGTTGCTGTAACACACTGAAGAGTACTTCAACCCAAGCTATTTCCTCAATAAATTTTTTAACAATTTATATTGAGAGTTTGAAAATTTACATACAACTACTTGAATAATAATAATAATAATAATAATAATAATAATAATAATTTTTTGAAGAACGTGTAAATAACGAGCTGTATAAAATGACTTGTTATTAAGATGCTTGACGCGAATCCATTTATACGTGTTAAGATACCTCACTTGGTGCGAGTAAAACTTTTAATGACCACGGTCGGTCTTATAAGTTTTAATCTCGTGCAAGTTGACGCCACAGGCGGAGTTTTGTACGAGAAAACGAGCGCGACACTGAGAAAGTAGGAGTTGTGCCGCTTTAAGATGAGCACATCTCTATGAAAACTCATTTTATACAGTATAATTTAACGCGAATTATATACTAAATCCACTAGTATAAACAACTATTTTTTATGCATGACACTTGCTCTGCCCAGTAAGACGGTAAATAAACATGTTATTAACTCAAAAAGTTTTTGAGTTTTTATCAAATGAAACGGATGATATACAAACTTCAAAAAAGTTAAATCAATCTCAAAAATTCATTTTTTTTTTTGTACGTCAGAATTTATCAACAAGACTTGAAAACAAAACAGCCTTTATCAACGTTTAGTTCTGTACAGAAAAAAAGGTTCACTTGAGCCAAGAAAATATTTTTCTTCCTAATTATTTTCTTGAGCGAAAAAAAAATTTTTTTTGTCACAAGAAATTTTACTTATTCCAACAAAATTAATTGCATTGCTTTAGGAAATACGTATCTTGATCCAAAAAAATTTATTTAAGTCAAGAAAATCTGGTTGTTTCGAGAAAATTCAGTCTCTTGCTCCAAATAATTAAATATAAAGATAGAAGTCAATTTTCATTAATATTTTTATTGATTAACATGTCAAATGGCAAGATCAAATAATATTTCATCATTCAGGCACCCGAAAATTTTCTTGAGCCAAGAATTTTGTTCTCCAATCAAGAAATTTTTTTTTCTGTGTATGTTCTAAAGTCAATTTTTTTTTTTTAAATAAAATTAATATTTACAAACTCAAATTTGAGATAATTTTCCACTTGAAAATTGTTTCAGTAAAATAAAAATTTATTTTAATCTAAAAACTTCCTATTTAAACTTATTAGAAATTATTTTCTACTTTTTAATTAAATTTTCTATCAAGTTATATTTTTTAATGAATATTAATTTAGCAGATATTTAATAATTTTTTTAATAAATAAATTATGTCAAAAAAAATTGACATTTAGAAAATTAAAAAAATTTCGGAGCAAATTTATTTATTAAAAAAAAAATTGTCAATTGACTACTAACTTTAATGTCATTATTTTTTAATATTTTTTTCTGTAATTAATTTTTTAAATGCATCTGTCAATAGTAATTTAAAAATAACGTAACTCTTATTTGGTAGCGAATTTAAATTAAACAGTAATTCGATAATCCAAACACCAAAAACAAAGAGCAAACGAAACTAATTGCCTTTCATTCTTCAAACAAAGACAATTTAAAAAACCATTTGTCAACATAAACACACACATCAAAGACCAGATAATTAGCTGAGTAATTCAGGCGAAACGTGTGTGCTCACCCAACAGATGAAACAACTTTTAGGTGGATGGATGAAAAGACGTTAATTATTAATTATTAATTAAAATAAATGAAAACAAATTGTGTTGTAAGCTAACGCTAACTGTGGCTCTGTTACTGTAATAATAATTATTAGTATTGTTATTATTACTTAACTATAAATTGAATTACGGAGAAAAGGCGCAAGTGGGACGGTTCGCCGATTCAGACTCCGAAAGTTTAATTCTTAGTCATTAATACGAGTCGGCGAAGCTGTTTATACATGAAGCTGTTTAGCAGCACATGTTTGCTCCGTATGTAACAGCTTGCAAATTAAAATCATCGCCTCAAAACTGTTACTTATGTCCTTTGTACTCGATTATGGGAATACCATTTTCCGTTAATAGGGACGTTAATTA